CGAGGAATCTCAAAAGTTCTACAAGTTCAAGAATATCTGAGGGTCGTAGACAAGGTTCATCCGGTTCGAAGGTGATTCTATAAACAAAGGCAAATTTAGATATGAAAACTATAATCAGATTCACTTTAGGAGGAATTGCCTCATCATAAGGCCCCCTGAGTTGGAGTTTGCTTTCTGCTTTTGTGATGGTAAATTATGAATATAAATTCCATCCATAAGACAACACAGGAAGCCAAAAGGTGGTGAATTTGAAAAAAACAACATAGAAAAGCCGTCTCTACTTAGTATAAATAATAGTTTTAACCTTACTTTGGAGTGATAATTGATTTTATGGCTGATCTAGTCTGGTATGTTATAAAAGAAAAATTAGGAATTGCATATATCGGTTCAGAAGATATATTCAGAATATCTCGATTCCTAGTTCGCAGTATCTCATGGAGGTGATAAACTCATCAAGAAAACCAATCCCATATGTTGAAAATGAAGTAGTTGTCATACAAATATAAAATACACCTGAAGAAAATAAATCCTAGCTTAAATTCCAAGTGCTGCTTAGGCTACTATAGAGCAATAAAATAAGAATATAACCTAATCTCACCTAAATAAACTAGAGATTACCGTCCCTTTAGAGGAATTCAACTCGATACCAGTGGCACCACCTTTTTCCCCGAGAGACTTGTTTGTTTCTGGATTCTGAATTCCTCGTTTGCCCAATAATCGGTGATTAGGTGGCAATGGTGCTGCTGCCGCTGCTGGTATAGATGCTGACCATGCAACTCGATCTACGCCCCCCCCAAATACTGCTCGGCTATTTCGCTCAAATGCCTCAACACGGAGCTCAGCATAAACCAGACGTAAGCTGGCCATGGTTCGAAGAGACGCTGGTTCTATAAACCTGAGTACTCGGCTAGGAAGTATGCCAGGTATTGTTGGGACCGGCTTCACGTGTGAGGCTGACATTTTGGCCGGAGCTGGAATTAATGCTGTTGAGGGGTGATCCACTTGGTTGCGAAGCCGGCAAGTCCATGAGTGCATTTCATGTGGGGGATTAAAAGGCATGACTCCTTTAGAGGCATTACTAGTGCCTTCTTGACAGGCTTCATCGGGAGAAGATTTATTTAAACCAGGTAGGGAAACTTCGAAATCCGTTAGAGAAGGGAGTTCACCAGTGTTGTGGCGACTAGATGCACTATAGGAATAGAAGCTCCCAGAAGCAGTATGTGCTTCGGGAAAACAGGAGGAACAGCGCAGTGCAAGGGCGAGGAAGCCATTTGAGAGAGCTGGGCTCCTGGGTAAGAACAAATAAACAAGCATATTTTTATATTTTATTTTTTAAAAACGAAAACAGCAGATGGTGTGCACCATTTTCACAAACAGCCTGCTTAATACAGAAATAGTTGGCAAATCAAAATGAAAACAAATATGACGAAGATATAGTCAGTCTAAATCTTAAGAAGCGTAGGTGCGTGTCCTTTGTGAGTAATTTATTGGTGTTTAATTGGGAGTAATTTAAGATCATTTTAACAAGTTGCTAGAAATGGAATAACGCATACGATAAACAAAGATTTAATTTTAGAATTTTAAAGTGCTATATGTAGTTGCCTATAATAGAGTCAATTTGTCCTAAGCAAATTCGCAATCACTCCAATTACACATTTAAAAGTAATATACACCAACAAATCCCAGGCGCCCGACAGCTGCTGAACAGACTATTAATATCAAAAATGAAATTCTTCTAAACGGAGCTGTTATCCTAAATGTACCTTGAATAAGCAAGCATTTTGACAAAAGAACTTCCAGGTTACCTTTAAGACATATTTTTCCTTTTACTATCCTATAAGGGTAATAGGATAAACCATTACAAATTTATAACGATAGGTTTGCATATTTAAGAAATAAAGATAATCGGAATAAAAGGTCAAATAATGGTTAGGATTTTGTAAGAACATAAATATTTGAGAAAAGTGCTACCAAACTCTTTTACTCACCAGGGCCGTGCAGAGAGCTCAGCCAGCTGGAGAAGTAGGGCAAGGCCGAAGAGAACAATATTCGGTCCTCCCCCTTCCTGCCCGCTGACCGCCCTGAGGAAAGTCAGGACCCCTGAAGCTGACCACGCCTCATCGGAGTTCACATGGCTCGAAGTTGTCTCATCCTGGTCCCGTATCAGAGTCATCAAATTATTGGATATTTTTATTGTATCGGACTGTCTAGATAGGCCATATGCGGCACCAACGCGAAAATTACGCAAGCGATATGAGTGCTGAAGATTAGACAGTTGGCTAAGAAAAGAAACGCAAAAGTAGACATGATCCTAATCATATTCAAGGAATTTCTTCAATCAATTCGGGTGATGAAGTTATGATGTAGTTAAGCCATAAATTTGGGAGGAAAAGTTGTGTATTTTAGAGTAGAAGGAAGGTATTAACGAAAAAAAGTTGGTTTTAAGTTGCTGTGATTACACTTTTTTGCATCTCTCTCTCTTTTTGACTAATCTTGTATACTAGCCACAAGTATTGTTCACCTAATCTCCCACTCAAATATGTGGGAGATAAGGTGGTAGATAGATAAGCCTCAACAACATTAAAACTACCAGTATTAGATGCGTTTAGGGAGGAAACAGCAGTTTTTAGATAATACAAGACACCCACAGTAGGGGTAAAAAGAGTAAGCGTCTATAGATATAGACAGAATGTTTAAACCATTTCGGAGCAAAGATAAGTAAACATATCAACAAAAATTGAGTTTTGAAGAATTCCTTCTTGATATATTGTGACAAGAATACATTCCGAAAAAAAGTTGGTTGGAAGGAATTCGTGAAATGATTTCACCGAAAACCGAAGGATATACGTAAAATGAAGACTGTTGGATTATGCAAAGAAGTCATCGGCTCATCGTCAAGCGACCCCGATGAGCTTAAGCTAAACATTCGTCTAAGGAAGATTACCATACTATCATAGCTCCAAAGGTGAACGTAATATTACCACTAACTTCATTAATTTAACTGAATATATGAAGACTAAGATGTTGTGGCCCCTGGAATGGTCGCAGTATCCTTTCTATTTATAGAAGTGGATTGACCTCGTTGTCGCAACTTGGTCTTGTTGTCAGGGGGACTTAGTATAGCTCGCCTAGTCCGAAGTTGTCTACCATAGTAGTTGTCATGATTCCCAGCATCATTGCTGGCGAAACGTTCGAATGTACCAAGTCCACTTTCTGATGCTGGGAATCATGACAACTACTATGGCAGACGACTTCGGACTAGGTTCGTTCTACTAAGTCGCCCTGACAACAAGACCAAGTTGCGACAATGATGCCAACCCACTTCTATTAATTTACGTTAGGAATTCTCCTAGGCTTTCTTGATATGTTGCCATACGACAAAGGAATCTTCCATGTACCTAGCCGATAATTTATGAACTAAATGTTTCTTGTATTAGGCGATTTTTAATTGAGCCATATAGCTATTTTATAAAATTGGAGACAAGCATGAACTCATAGCTAAGCCTTATGTTTGTCCATACAATTTACTATAAAAAGTAAAATACATACATATTTTAAGTGTGTTAGTTGTTTCGTTGATTTGTATAGATTCCTAATCTTCCGCTTAATGCAAAGGTCTGTGAGCCCAAGATTCGAAATTGGCAGAACACATTGCTCATACAGAACATCAGACTAGAGTATTGGCAAAGGCTTAGCTTGATAGAGCTAAGCGTAATCATCAGAAGAAACTTCAATTACCAGTCCTTTTATCACCTTGAACCAAATAGAGTGGATACACCTAATTTACATTATCTAATGGTAGACTCGAAAATCTATTTATAAAAAAAATAAAACTAGAGTCCATCAAAATCAACCGACTAGGCAATATACTTAATGCAAGGAATACCGACAGGATGTTAATAACAAACTACCTCTGCTTAATTAATAGACTCAAGGATAGATATGGTGGTAAGTCACCTAAAAGAGCAGGCAACCCAACTAGTATTACTTTTCTAGATTCAAATTACGCAAACTTTCCCATACGTTTTCAATGGAATCAGAGGAGATTGCCTCGGAAAAAGCGTCAAGAAGAACGTTCCAATAAAGCCAATCGACAGCTGCTCAAGAGGAATCTGCCGTCGTCTTCTGGTGGGCTCGACCTTCGTAGCTCTTCACCAAACATTTGCACTTGAAATGGAAGTGAGCTCAACATTTAGTCATGCCAAACAGAAGCTCTGTACGTTTTCATCGGAACCGAAAGAAAGTGTCTCTAAAATTGATTCAGCCCGAACGTCACAGCAAAATCAATCTATAAAAGGCCAAAGGTATTTCGCGGCCATCCCTTTTGACACCGACCTACAATTGTCATCACGGCATACTTTCGTACTTAACGAAAGTCAGCCCAATATCCAATGAGCAACTTTTAACGGCACATGATAATCTAGTTACCTTAAAATGCTAAGGTTTCAAACTGGCATTCCCGAGCTTTTAGTAAGATATGATGCCAGGAGCAGCTCGCTACAGGAATCATATTGACATTAAGGCCAGGAGGGTCATAATGGCTTGAAAATGAGTGAAGCATACGTCGTTGGATTCTCACTTACCGAAAAATGGAAGGTAGAAGAGCATCGATGCATTTAGCCGAGTGCCATAGTGAGACCAAAGCTGGGCGTTTGGCGGCCGGAAGTGAGTTTAGCAACTCAGAGGGCAAAGAAGATTGCGTTCCAGATAATCTAGAAGTTAAACTACACATACCGATACCAC